AAGTTGAAAGAATGTATGCAGGACGTGGTCAAAGTAGCCGCTTTGGTATAACCAGAAAGGGTACCTTGGCCTACATTCCGGTGAAGAGCTCTAGTGAGAGATTCCTGGTCATTGGGAAGCCTTACCTTTTTGGCATAACAAAGATACATGTTCAGACGTTTGTTTGACTACCAAAAGATAATGTTCTAAACCCTTTATTCTTTGTTCTGTAGAGCTGTCCTCTTATATCCTGCTATCTTCTCTCTATTAACAAACCTGAAATGCAGTGTATGGATTTATGAAAAGAAAAAACATTATGCAAGTAAATATCATTCAAATAGCATAAGCATGTGTGAGAGATGAAAACTTGATTGACTTTTGGGAGGGAAAAGAACATACAGTTAAACATTTGTCTGTGCTTGTTTTTAAGGTGTAAAAAGATGGTTCCTGCGTCGAAGAGGTATACGATACATCGTTCTTCCAACGTTCTCACAATATCATTGAAAAGATTCGCAAATTTTACAGGTGGAAAGATCAACAAGGTATATTTACAGCTGTAAGGCAACTTTATCTTCTTGGAATGGGAGATTTCCCAAAGATGAGTACTCATTTAAAAGTTGTTAGCGTTTGCGGGCAGTACTGTAGACTAATAACTATAGTCTAAGAAAAGTCAATATAACAACTATGGCTTTTTTTTTTTTTTTTTTCTTCTTTCTTTTTTAAGAACTATAAAGTTCCTGTGTGACCATAAGAGTATACCTTACTCTTAAAGACTAATTCTGTAGAAAACAGTTCTCTGCAACTTAAATTATTAAATGTTGTTTATGAGAATAGGTACTTTTAAATGAATCAAAAATATATTAGTATAATCCTAGTTCGTGTTTTTAGAAGTGTTTTTCTCAGGCTGTTCCGTGAAGTATTTTAGGATAATTTTTGAATCCTCGTGGTCTGTGTTTAGGATGTAAAATATCCGGAATATTTGGATCTTCGAGCATATATGTCCCAATCGATTGGAGAACCACTCATCTATGCTTTGTACGCAGTTCTTGTACATAGTGGCTTCAACTGTAACGCCGGACACTATCTCTGCTTCATAAAGGTAGATACCAGCACGATTTCTAACCGGGTAAAATCTGTGCTGACAAAGGAATCAAAATGTTAACAGTAACCACTCTTCTCGGGGGAAAGGTTGCAGTATACGTTTTGTTTGATTTGTTTGGGTATGTTTTGTTCCTCAGTGTTCTGTCTGTGATGTCATTTGGAAAACATGCAATTCATCTAAAGATATCATTGTCTTTTTTTGTAGGCAGGTAATGGACTTTGGTATCGAATGAATGATGCCTCAGTAGAACTTTCTGATATCAAAACAGTTCTCAATCAGCAAGCTTATGTACTTTTTTATATCAGGTAATAACAAATACTAAATGTGTTCAGAATATATTTACTTTCCTGTTATTGATATTTTTCTTCAAGTGTTCTTCTTTCTGTCCTAGGAAAAGATTTCTATTTGTATAATTCGGTTCTGTCTGACCTGGAATTCCCTATGTCATTTATCATCTTTGTTGCATGGCCTTAAACTGCTGCTATGTACCTGCTCTCTGTAGCTGGCTGATTTAGAAAAGAGGAGAAATTAAGGCCATAGATGGTGTAAGGATGAGTTATTGCTCTGAAAAGGATAGGCACTGTAGGAAGACCATTATCTAATTTTCAGTTTGTAGTCTTGGTTTAATCTGCCATATATGCCTTCTGTGTCATATAAACTGTTTCTGTAAAACTATAGGATGGGGTTTAATCCAAGAATAGGCTGCAAGAAAAACTCTAAACTGAGGTCACTGCTCTTTTCCCAAGGCGCTATGATTTGACGCTCGGAGAACGTGCTTTTTACTTGCCAGCACCGTCCTATCCCCGTTCATTCCTTGGTCAGCGGGGGGCTAATAATAAGCAGGCAGGATACATGGGACCACGACTTCCTCCTCATATGATTAAGGTAATTTGAAGGGGGCAGATAATGGCACCAAATTGATAGTGGTTTTTGGTCTTGTGGGGACTTTTTGTTTTTGTTTTTTAGCATCTGAGTTTTATTTTTCCTCCCATACTGCAACTTTCTTCACAGCCCTCATGCTACAGCCAGAATTATTCAAACAGTGGCTAATCCTAAATTGTGCAACCATACTACTTGGTTACCTTATACTACCAACTCAGCTTTCTAAAGCACTGACAGCTACGCTCTTGAGACAATTTAAGTAGTCTATTAATGCTTAAATAATTATTTATTTATTTATTTATTTAGAAAAAGGATTTTTTTCTCCCCTTAGCTGAGGCAGTGAAAACAAATTATCTTGTTCCTGAGTACCCGAACAATTATTCTAGTGTTTTTAGGGAATGTTTAAAGGGGAAAATAAATACATTTGGGAATAGCTGTAGTCAATGTTAAATTTTTGGGTGGGTTTCAAAAATGATGCTCATTTGATACCAGTATGCAGTAAGCCAAAAGCAGGAATTAAACACACTTGTTGGACTTAAGTTTATATTTGAAGGGGGATGTTTTTTCTTAGGTGTTGAGGCAATTTGTAGAAATATTTAAGTGGGAGAAGTTCATGTTTTAAAACTTGAAATGCTATGTGTTTGACACATCCATCTTACAATCTCTTATTTTTAAATACAGAATTCAAGTCGCTTAAATGGAAATGGACCCCTGAAAGAGGATCCAAATACTGCTGGTGTCACCCTAAAAAGGCCGTCTTCAGCTCCACCAGCAGCTTGCGTTCAAAACTGGGCAATTACCAGGCCTCCAATTACTGACCCATCAAAAAACCAGAAGATCACTATCAGTATTCATAACAAATTGCCTGCACATCAGACTGTGTTGCAACCGGACTGTCTTAGCAGTGCTGCAGCGGATGAGGATCTAAGCAAGCCTGTTCCTTCATCCACAGTTACAAATTCTTCTGCAGCAGAGTCTACCTCAAACGCATCTACAATGTCAGTTGCTACTAATGTTTCCAAACAGGACGTTCCTGATGAAATTTTTGTTGAGCCAGCAGTGAATGGAAATCCTAAACTCAGCTCTGATAACGCAGTCCCTTACAGTGTAGAATCTTCAGGAAAGTCTGAGGAGTCCAAGGGGTTGTTTAAAAGGAATTGCAACATAGTATCTTCTAATGGACTTTTGATTGGAAAGGTGGTCCGTACATTGCAGAATTCCCATTCTTCCTGTCAGAATGCTGAGGAAGAAAGATCTCAGCATGAGCTGCCAAAAAACGATTCACTAAATGGTGCTATTAGTTTAGACAATGAATCTAAAGAAAATGGACTGAAACTTGATGATTCCACTTGCCAAGTCCAACCTGTTAAACCTTCCGAGATTTTCTTTTCTAAAACAAATGGATTGCTTGAAACGGTGAGTTATGTTTTTTTCATTTAGAGTTTCTCACCTATGATGTATTTGGTACTCAGGAGCGTGATAATGGTCCTAATGCATGTGAAATATCGAGAAAACACACCGCACAAATTTCATCGTAATGCTTTATCACATAATGCTATTACCCGGTTAGAATTTGCAGAGCTGAGTGGACGCATATGAGAACACGTTGACTTCAGAGAAGTTCAGCTGAGATTAATACTTCATAAGTTTCACAAATATGTTTGGGGGGTGAGTGGGGTGATGTGTAAAATGGGGAGGGCACATATAACTCAAAGTGATCTTGTTTAACATCTAACATAGAAATTTTGAAAACAGTAGTTTTCTACTAAAGATAGTATTTTTTCTGTCTGTTAACTTCTACTTTTTCATTGTAGATGCCTATAGCTTTGTCACCGGTTCCTCAAGAAATAATCTTAGAATCTCTCACATACAGCCAGTTGAACAGCTTGTCAGAGGAAATAAGGTAAAATGAGTTCACCCTGATTAAAACAAGATTTCATACCACTTTTTCATGGTTTTACCTGTCTACTAATACTATTTAACAGAAAGATTTAAATCAGTAATAAACTTCAAATCAGAGAATTCCACACCGTACAACCAGTATTGCAAACATCAGCACTGAGCATATACCGCTCTGATACTAAATACAGGCGGGATGTCTCTTGGAAAACATTCATAGAATGTTTTTCCATATTTTTCCATTGTCTGGAATATTTTTTTCTATTTTTCTTTCCCTTTTTTTTTTCCATCCTAGGATGTGTGAATGTAAATTCCCACCATCTGCTCTCCCATTTGGGAGAAAGAGGGAAATCCACGTGTATATACTTTTTTTCTGGTTGTGGGGAGAGCAAATATAGTGGTTTTGGCTATGGATGTGATTCAGAGCAGCAAGTGGAGGGAGACATATGTGTTGGGTGAGGGTTTTTTAATGCAATACTTGCAGAATCAAGAGAAAAAAATCACCTTCTTTGGGAGCTGAGAAAGGTGTAAAAATATGTTTCTAAAGGGAATGTCTTTCAGAGTTTTCCAGTAACTTTTTTTACTTAAGGGGATTTTACTCCTAATATTCATCTTTAGATGGACTTTTTCAAGTGAGAAACATGTTTTTATTTTGTGCAGTGCCCCTGGAGCACAGAAATCTTCTGAGAATGATGCTCTTATGGAAACTGTAGTGATGGATGCACTGTTTGCCTATGAAGAATCGAGGAAGGCTCCTTCCAACTTTAGCTGTGAGGTTGAGAATCTTTTTACTCAATCAGATTCTGAAACCGTTTCTACCAAAGAAGAAGTTGCTGAAAGTATTATAACAAAAGCTGATAATGCGCATCCCAGTATCAATGGTCAGCACAAGGTCAGGAAAAAATCCTTGGACACTGAAGATGAATTCCTTGGACAGTGTGAGTCTGAAGACAATAGAGACAAAGACAGACCAAGAAGATCAAAAGAACATGAACTCGTTTCAAAAGAAAATCCTTTGTACATCAAAGGGTCTCCTGAGAGTGAAGAGAAATTAGGGCAAACTTCCTCTATAAAGTCTGACATTGAATGTAGTTCTAAAAAACTTGCATCTCTAGACATTACAGATAAATGCCAAGATACAAAGGACATTTCAAATAACTACGTAGAGGTACCACCTGTTAATGACTCTTCTATTATGAAGCTGGATAAAGTTTTGGAGAGTCAATTTTCTAGAGAAAATGAGGGACTTAATAATAAAAAATGTGAAGAAGATAAACATAGGAAAAAATATAAGAAAAAAATATATGACTCTAAAAAAAATGACAAAGAGCACTACCGAAAGAAGAGAGAACACTCAGACACTGAAGAAAGGGAGGAGAAGCAAACCAGGAGCAAACCAGATGATCATTCCCACAAGAGGAGACGCTCTCGCAGTGCGGAAACAAATAAGCAAAATCGTCATAAGCAGGAGTATTGCAACGAAAGCAAGTACAGATCTTCCCATAATGAAAGAAACAGTCCAAATAATGGCAAAAGCTCAGGAAAATATTCTCGTTATAGATCCCGAAGCAGAGAAAGAACAGAACAAGACAGGAATAGGTATTATCATTCCAAAAGAGAGAGAACTTGGAGCAGAGAAAGATACTATCAAGATGAGCCACGGAGATGGGAAAAATGCAGATACTACAATGATTATTATTCCTCCCATGGAGCAAGAGATGGTAGACAGAGAAAGTCCTCTTACTGTGATAAAGACTTTGACAAATCGATTCAAGCCTACAACAACAGGTCACATAAGAATTATCATTGCAAAAGCAGATGGCCTCACAACACATTCTCTAGAGAGGAAGATGTATATCATTTTAGCAGCCACAGAGCAAACTTACATCATTGTTTGGTACCGCAGCAGCAATCCGAAAAATATTCTCGTGAAAGGCATGTGCTTCCGCCTATGTCAACTCATTCAAATTTTGAGGACTCTTCCCAGGAAAATGAAAAAGAAAAAATAAGAAATGGCAAAAGAAAATATACCCATGCAGAAGAAAGTGAGAGTGAAATAGAAAAGAAATGCCGAAAGATAGGTGACCAAAGAATGAAAAAATACAAAAAGGTCAAGAAGAAAAAGAAGTCCAAAGATAAACATCGAGAGAAGGATTACAAGTAAGCAAGGATTCCGGCATAATCAGCAATTTTTTTCCTCATTCTTTTCTGGGTGTTTCTCATGTCTGCCTTTTTTTCATTGTTTCTAAGTTATTTCTATAGCATAATCTGGCTGGGGATCATGTCGTTAGGTTGGTTAAGTGAAGACAGGAAAGATATTGCTGAATTGTGTTAGAACACTAGATCTGGACCACATAGTTAGAATCACATCTGCACACCGTTCTTCATTAGGTTACAACAACTTTTTTTTTTTAATTCCACATATTCCACAACTAGCCACCGTTAATGATTTGTGTACAAACTAGGACCTGTTGTCCTTCAATCTGAGGGCTTAAGTTTACTGCATCTAAAGTAAGTTAGATGTGCAGAAATTGCCACAAAATAGCTGACACGCTGCAAGTCACCACCTGTGGTAAAATAAATAACTTTTCATATATGCATCAAGTGCCACATCTGTTTTTCTATTTTTAACTTGCATGTTTCCTTCAGACTTTATGATTTGGATTTCTCTGTGCTCCGCTTTGACAATGACAATCGCAAACATAAGAAAAAGAAGAAAAAGAAGAAAGACATCAGGAAACTGAAAGGTTTCTTGGAATATTTAGATCCTCGTTTCCGGAAGAAGACACGAGAGAAGAAGGAAGAATCCTCTCCTACAGCAGACTATTTATGTGAGCAATACAGAAACCAGGGCACTAAACAACCCTACAAGGAAGGGAAGCCTTCTGGTGCAGGTGAAAGCAAGAAATACAGCTCCGTCCCATCCAATGAGTATGTTAAAGGTAAGAGGCCACAGGATGTTTGCAGGACCCCTTTCTACTCACAGAGACTACGTTCAGAACAATCTTTAAATGCTTGTGTGATGACATCTCTGCTTTATATCATGGCTTCCAAATAGTCTGCATTAATATACAAAAAAATATTGATTGGTGCTTTTTTTCCCATTTTTAAATGACTGGTAGGAAATCGAGTCTGAAATAAAACTGCAAAGAGGTTGAAGGGCAAGTAATTTTAATTTGATCTGCTGGTTAAGTGGTGAACAAAGTCAGTGTAACTAATTAGGAAAAAAAAAACAGGGCAGCTGTATCTTGAAAAAGAGTCTAGTAGGTAGACAGGAGGTTCGGTAGTCAAGATGGGAGATGATGACATGAGACTTCCAGGCTAGTAATACTGTAGCAAAACACCATCTTCCTAAAAAAGACTGCCAGAGTAATCGATTTAAATAAAATACTATGTTCAGCTGTTTCATAACATGGAAACAGTGCTGACTGCTTGTTCAGAGTAAGGTAAGTAAGTTGGTGGTAAAACTGCAATATTGTTTCAGATGTAGATCTGCCTTCTCCTAAGCACACTGAATTCAAAGAGTTAACCCTCCAGAGGACCCTTTGCAATTTAATTCCTGCTATTGTTTTATTGTGTTTTTTTTTCTGTTAGTGTACGCTTAAAAATACGGAGAAGTGGGCTGATGAAACAGCTCTTTCCCAATTTCTAGTACTATAAAAAGTCAGTTTGGTACTTTTTATAAAAAGCTAAATACAAACTTGAGCGCCTGACTGAATTTACACTGAACTCTCTGCTGTTGCTGGTCTTAGTCATGACTTGAGCTCTCAGTACATAATACGGTTTAAATTAATTAGCTCTAGAGTTATGTAAAAGAAAAGAAGAATGCACACTGCAACACATTCAACATGTAAAATCAAATTTGACAACACTTTTCAATGAATTTTTTCTGAACAGCAGTATTTATTATAAAAATCAGACCTTAAATGCCCATTATCTGACATAAAGCTAGTCTGAGTTACTCAGATTATTTTCATAAACGCCCTCCCATCTGTTTTATAGATAGCTGACATAATCCCTGGAGATGACAGCTCACTATCCAAAAGCAAGTTTTATTTTTAAGTTTTCGATATTTTATACCTACCTAAAATTTAAGAATTGGGTTAATAGCTAGTGACAGTCCTGTTCATTAATAACCCAGTGTTGAAAATGTCGTTCTGGCATAGAAAACAGAAGAATTCAGCTTCTTGCATTACAGCTGAATGCACCTCACAATTTGGAGAAGTTTAATCTCAGAAGAGATTTTAATTTTCAAAAATCCCTTGTGGTTTCCACATTCAGGTAAATTGCCAATCAGTAGATTCTTGCACTGAAAAGTTTGCTTAAGGCAAAGAGGAAGTGCATTTGTGGAAAAACAACGATTATGTTTTAAGATATAGTCAACCAAAAGTTTTATTCTGAAAACATAGTATGAAGAGAAAGCTGATTGCTCACACATTCTTCTTGTAAAATTTAATATGGTATTTATCTCTTTAACAAGGAAAACTTAAGAAGCAGGGCTGGATTGAGCTCTTTCAAATACTATTGTTGTAAAAATGAACTTTTATATGATACTAATGTCCAAATAATCCTTATTGCATGGAAAGTGTCCCTGTTCTGGCTGATAAACCAGGAACTGAACAGAACAAAATGCATCTGCCCAAATACTCGTTTGGCTTCAGTGAATTCTCTGGCCGGCAGGTGGCAAACTCGTTTTTTTCTAAACCAGTCAAAAGTCTAGTAAATGTTTTGCATTTCCTGACACAAGTCAGGGGCGTTAAGGTTACTGGGCTGTGTAGGTGAAAGAGATGTGCCTTGGTAAATACGACGACGGTTCCTCGCTTTGATATGCTGCTCACAACACAAGTGGGCTATGAGGGCTGTGAAAAGAATTTTTTTTAAGTCTTGAGAATTTTGGTATTTCATCAAGTTCCATGGATGCTAATTAGCTTCACCTTGTGGAAAGTCAATCTTTTTTAAAAATATGGATCAGAATGGATTTTGGATTTTCTGAATGATGGAAACTAATCTCAAAGGTGGCCACTTTGGCAGTGTGTTTTTAGAGGTATTTAACCTCTCCAACAAGCTAGGGACAGGCTGGAAACAACTGAGAGGGAATTGTTAATCCTTTTCACCAGGACTTATGTTGCTTTGAATAAATAGATAAGGACAAAAATGGCTAGTGATAAGTTGTGATTTAAGAAAAATCCAGGTAGGATGGGAGAAAGAGCAGCTTTAAAGCAGTTCATTTCCTACATTCCTTTATGTTCTCTCCAGCAAGCTTCTGAAGGCTTCTGTTTTTGCAGGTAAGATTTGGTCAGCTTGGCCACAAGTTTTAGTAAAACAAGGATGCTAAATTTAATTTACCCAAGGTCTACCATTTGCTATTAAAGGAGGTAGCTTTGTCCTAATTATCTGTACAGTTTACCAGTCTCATAGAACTGAAATGCAGTCTGTTTAAACGAGAGGAAGGTACCTTGTCTAGTCAGTTGGATCCTGTATTCACAGAGCAGATGGAGCCGTGTGCAGGTTTGAGACTTCTCTTTCAGAAATCAAACCACTGACTTCTAGTTTTATGTTGAATGTCATGACAGAGAGTCACATTGCTTCTGTTTGTCTTTCAGATGCGGAGCTCACTGATGGAAGCCTTCAATACTCAAACTAAACCTACCATCAAACCCAACATGACCGATACTGACCGTCAAACCCAACATGACTGATATTGACCATTGATACTGACCGTCAAACCTGACATGACCGATACTGACCACCAAACCCAACATGACCAATATTGACCACCAAACTCGACATGACCGGTATTGACCATCGATATTGACCATCAAACCCGACATGACCAGTATTGACCTTCAAACTCGACATCACCGGTATTGACCATCAACTCGACATTACCGATATTGACCATCAAAACTTATTATCAAAACAACTACCATCAAGACAAAATCCAGTCATAAGTGGTGCTTAACATTTCTGTACAGAATTTTACCATTAAAGAACTTTTTTTTAATTTTTAACTTGAGACTTTCTTTTTTAAAATATACTTCTAATCCAAAAGGGTGGAAACTTTTTACAACTGCTGAACATTGTAAATTACCACATAAATATCTCACTGATGTGAGATAATGCCCTGGAACAGACCATCTCAAATGCTGCTTAATTACAGACTCAGGTTGACTTTATGTTATTCATGTAATGTTACTCCAAGTTAGACATCTGGTGCAAGAGCGACCAGGAATTATAAAAATTGCAACTGACAGTCTGTATATTTAATTTAAAGACTTATTTAAATCTCACAAGCTCTCAAATAACTAGAGTTTTGCAAGAGCTGCATCTTTTTTCTGTGATGTCTGACACTAGAAACTAATTTACTTCACATTTGAGTTATATTCAAGATCTGAAGAAAATCTTCTGGTTTTCAGCATTGTGAAACAATGAATATGCAGTTCTGAATGTATCTCTCAAGACTATTTGTATACTCTTCCATATGTTTTTATTACGTTTTCTTAATATACTGTCACTTGTCTTAAGTCTCAGTTGTCTGTTTTGTCTCTCTAAAGTGTCTAGTTACAGACAAATTCATACTGTGATTTTTATTTTTATTATTAAATGCTATCAAACTGTGATGCATTTATTATTCACTGGTCCTGCATCAGGAGATGAGTGGGGAACCTGTATTAAATACAGTTCATCTGAATAATCTGTCTGGTTTATACAAGCTGTGTTGTTCAGAGATGTCTAAAGTTTGATCTTTGTTTTTTTAAAGATAAAAAGCACTTGCCCCACTGTAAATATATAGCATGTAAAATTTATATAGTATATAAATATAGCAAAGTTAAAATGGATTTTTACTTGAGTTTTACTTGAGTTATTTAACATGCAATATGTCATGTGAATTGACAGCTTTCAGAGTGTGTTTGATACTCAAGAAATCAGATCTTCCTTTCAGTGGTAGGTGAGAAGACGCTGTCGGTGTGACCCAGAGAAGATAAGTAACTTGGGACTTCAGCTGCCTAGACAAGAATGCAGAAGGCTTTCTCCTTTGAAGTTAAAAGCTTCCAAAACCAGGCAACAGGTTGGAAGCTCAGCAGTAGCTTTTTACTGTGTGTTACACTAAAACAAAATCAGGAGCAAGGTTAATGTTTTAGTCGATACTTAACATAATATTTTGGTACATGGAGAACACCATAACGCCAAACCATAAGTGTACCCTGCATAATGTTCCTATGGCAACAGTTATGTGAAGTTACATAAAGTAACATGACAAAGAAACCACATACCTTTCCTGTATCTGGCTTTTTTTTCCTCTTTTGTTCTCTGGCTCCAAGATTTGGTGTCTTGTCTTTTGTCTGATGAACAACTCCGGCATAAACATGTAAAAGGAATTTAAATGTTGACTGCTGTACCTCGATTAAGAGCTCCAGAAGCAACAACTGCCTCAACCAGTTAATAAACGGTAAACGGAGGGAAGGGCAGTTAGTGACAGCTTCAGAGTGGAGCTATGGAGAAGCAGACTAGGCAACTACAGCAGTGTTAGCTGTTTCTACTTAGGGGAGGTCTAATTAACCTACTTGAGGAGCAGATATCCAATTCCTGGCCCCCCCCCTTACATGAGACTGAAACTCATGGAGTGGAACTGACAAAATACCTCCTTGATTTAGGGTGGCTCTCAAGGGAAACCAGCTCTTAATGGAATAATGCTCATAGTTGTAGCTTACTTCACTGAAACAATCTATTTTGCAGTTGAAGGTTTTTCTCTCTGAAAAATTAAACCTGATAATTTAAATTAGTGTGCCTAAAGACAGGGAAAAGAGGCCTTTACTTACAAGAGCAATTATAACACATGCTGTAAAATTGAAACTTAATCTCTTAAAAAAAATAAAAAAAAAATCAACAATTGTCTCCCATGTATTCTTGGTAAATGAGCTATACAGTAACATAGTTTCACACTTTATTTTTGAGAAAATCTCCAGATTTAAGCAACAGGTCTTAATGATAAATGAAAACATTAATATTGCAGTGGATTTACATAGAATATCACATTTTTAACAATGATTGATACAGAGTATGTGCCATGCAAGTCACTTGTGTACACCAAGTAATACTTATATCAGTACATATCTGTACAGTATTTACATTTTATATTTAAACTCTAGCTAGAAACATTTTCCAAGAAAATATAGAAATGAAACTGGTAAGCCACAAGTCTTAATTTGTAGCATTTGGTCTACAACAGACCTAGCTTTTCCAGCAAGCATATCTACATAGATATGTAATAAATCTTAAAAATATGCATTGTTCTTATATATGAAGCATTATAAATGCTGCTCAGTTTACAAAGGTTCAGTTTTGTACCAGTTTAAAACGGTTCAAAATGTTAAGTGACATAGAGCTTATTTTGTCAGGATATTGTAAAATTTAAGTCAGTCCAGCTGAGCTTAAGTATTATATACAGTTCTCTCCCTAGATTGCACTGGCCACGCAGCTGATGTTAGTGGCCAAATGGTTCAGATGGTGAGCGAAGCCAAGCACATCGCAGAAGCAGTAGTGGCTCTTGCCAGCCCTTGTAGCTGCAAAGGGCAATGTTAAAAACAAAGAGCTGAAGAATTACGCAAGTTTCAGTGCAACAGGAAGGGAGAAGTCTGTTGTCCCCAGAGGACTTTCCTCAGCATGGCCAAACTGTAACAAATACTGCTTTAGGCCACTGGGCAGCTACTTTCAGTAGCTACCCCTGGACTTGAAGCCCAATAAAAAAGGGAAAGGTTGAGAGATTTTTTTTTTCACCCTCATGGATAGTACCTGATTTGGCCAAAATTTTCACAAGCCACTTTGTTTTACTGGCCTCATGGCCAGTGGCAATTTTGAGCCACTTTCACTCCCTGTTAATACTGTTACAAAGAACATTCGAAATCCAATATTATCACACACAAGAATGCTATTCCATTAGCTTTGGTAAATTAAATAGATATATTGAGCACCACAAACAGCTGTTTAGGATGTCGCATTTTAATGCTAAGAAATAATCTATTTCCTGCTATAATAACCTCAGTTACATGTAAATAATTATTTCTGCCAGATATAAGAACTTCAGACTAAATACAGCAAATAAACTCTCAAGGCATTTCCTTCATGCTTATAGGCAGACATCCTCACCTGGTTAAATAAATAGATTTTCCTTGAAGGTGATATTTCAGAAGATAAGAATTGATACAAAAGTGCTTCATGGCTTATTAATGCTTTTGTAATCTCACATTTCTCCAGAAATACTTAATTTGCTGCTTTTCACCTTGACACTCATTAGTACCACTGATTCTGGCTTATCACTATTTGCATTACAAATCTAACTTGTCCAAAGCTAAAACTGATGTATGCATTGCTTGAAAACAAAACTTGAATCTGCGGAACAGAAAACTCAAAAAACAAAATGATGTTAGCAGCTCTGCAGTCACGCTGCTTTGCAAATTATAGGACATACAACTTAATTCGTTTCTGTAGAGTTTAAGTGTGTTCCGTTGAGCAAAGATGTCCCCACAATGATGCTTATTCAAGGGTTCTACCTCCTTTGGTTGAGTTTTACACCCTTGAAAGTACTCAGACTTGAACATGCATCCAAGCAGACTGCAATTCCACACACTCTGGGAAAAATCTAAGGTGTAGAAAAGTTTACTTTGTTCTTTTCCTCTCGGCCTTTTTTGCAAACATGCAATAAAGCAAAACATTCACAGGCTGACACCCCATGCAAAACAAGGCAAATTAGTAAGACAGGAACAATGAAACAGATTCTCCCTTACAGTTAAAAGGAGATTTGAAACAGATCAACTTAATAAGTCTGTGTTTTTGCCAGTGCAGCACATTTCCCTATAATGTAACCAGAGAGGCTTCTGCAACTCCAACAAGCAACATTGCTTTGACAAAATATTGGGTGTCCAAAGCATTCATTGGCACAGTAGGCATGGCTCATGTTCAAGAAGTCTGTGAAAAACTGAGTAGTACTAACAGAAGCAGTAGGGTCCAAAAAAACAGTTTTTGCCCCATTATGGAATTTGGGGTTTTAACCTTAAGAATGGTATGTGTGTTATCAATATAAAAGCATTGCAGTAAAACCTGGCATAGTAGTTTACATGTGACTAAAAGAATATCAGTAGGACCACAGGAAGACCTTCCACAAATTAAAAAAAAAAAAAGAGAGACGTGCTTGTGGGGGAGTTTAGTTGCACTAAGTAATCCATGTGTAAGATTTTATTTTTTAAGTAAAAATAATGCCTTTTTTCAACTGCAACTGCTGAAGCACAGATCTGAAAAATCGCCTTTAAGAATGCAACAAAAATACTGAACTTTTCTGTGTGTCCAAAGTTTGTTACCAAGCAAAGGAATGACTCCTGCTTGCTTAACTACCTGGGGCTGTGTCTTACAGAAAGATTTCACCTTCCTGTTTTTTTCCTTTTAAAAACACTAAATGCATGTGAAATTATTTGGGGGTGTTTTCACATGCAAAGCCTAAACTCGTGCAAGCCCTGTCATCTTAGTCCATTAGTGCTAACTTAGTGTTAATTAAACTACAACATACCTAAAACATAAAAAGGCTGTTACTATATAAAAAGCGGATTAAACCAATCATTAAATCTTACTGCTTATTGTGAGTGTATAAGC